AACCAGACATCCCAAATTCTGGACATGATGACTGCAGATGTGCAAAATGTTAACCATGCTGTTTTACAAAATAGAGCTGCTGTAGACTTTTTGCTCTTAGCACAAGGGCATGGATGTGAAGAATTTGAGGGAATGTGTTGTATGAATTTGTCTGATTATTCGGTGCCCATTCATACTAAGATAAAAGAACTACAACAGGGACTTCACAATCTCAAAGAAGAAGAAGGTTTAGGAATTGACGAATGGCTTAAAGGCTTAGGGCTTGGACCATGGCTAAGGAACATTGTGATCTATGCTATAGGACTACTGGGTGTAGTTTTACTGTTTTTGCTTATTTTGCCTTGTGTCTTTAATTGTATTCTAAACATGGTCAGTCGTATGATAGCAAAAATGCAGACTAGTCTTCTTGCTCAAGAAGAAAACGGGGGAAATGTGGAGGATTTTATTAAGAGTTGGTTAGCTGAGAAAGGCCATACTGACTTAATGCCGCTGGTTAAGCTTGAAAGGGAGGTCAGCAGTCTGATTCAGTGACTGCTGACAGGCAAGAATACCGGATGGCCTTGCTGCAACATGAGGAAAGGGAGGTGAGATTAGTCCTGAATATCTGCAGAATGTAACAGAAGAATAAGCACAAGAATGTAGAAGTAGGTGTAGTTGCTGATATGTAACTAACCAATCCTGAGCTCAACTTTTGCAATATGTATGAAGCTTATTAAGAACTATATTTAACCCGCCGTATTCGATCAATAAATTGGACTTGGATGAACCAACTGGTGTCTGGGTCTCCTTCCTCTGACAGTTCACGGTCAGCGTCACCGAGCTCTGCCCGTTGTCCCTGGAGATCCTGAACCGGCCCTTGACTGATGGCGCATAGCCAGTGCGGCACCCAGTGTAGCTGAACACCGCGACCCAGTCCAACCCCTACCTGGATTTCTGGCGAACCCAATCCATTCCAAAACTCCCAAAACTGAACCCGGACCCTCGGCAGAGTAGGCGCAGGGAACCCCTGGGGGGCTGGAGGTCCCCCCCGCACTCCAGCAGGGTCACAGGTTCAGTTTTGGGAGTTATGAAATGTTCTGGATCTGCCAGAGACCCGGGCAGGGTTTGGAATACGTCGCAGGGATCTACAACCCTGGTGGAACCACCTACTACAATCCATCGGTCAAGGGCCGGTTCACGATCTCCAGGGACAACGGGCAGAGCTCGGTGACGCTGACTATGAACAACCTCAAGGACAAAGATTCCGCCACCTATTTCTGTGCCAAGAGTGCTGGTGCTGGTGGGGCTGAAAGTGCTCATCATATTGACGATGGCCTTGCTGTCCCCAACCCATCTCCGTGTCCCCCCCCATCCCCATTGCCCAGACCCTTCCCCCACACCCCCAGCCCACACCCAGCCCTTGACCATTGATCCCAACCTTGCTCTGCCTCGGCCCCAATTCTCACCCGCTGACCCCAAACCACAACTCCTGACCCCAAATCTCCTCTTTCTGCCTCAAACCTTTGCTCTGAAGGTCGGGGATTTAGGCCCGTGGTCCCGATTTTGGGACAAAAGTTGAGGATTCGTGTCAGCAGGTGTGGCTGGGAGCGCAAAGTTGGGTTTTGGGGCAGAATCGGGCGATTTTGGTGCAAACTTAGTTGGATTTGGGGCAGAACCAGTTTGGGGGTTTGGCTCCATGGTTGGTGTCGTGGAACTGGAGGAGATCTGGGACGAAGGGTCAAGAATGCGGTGAAGGGCTGAGACCCAGGGGAAGGGTCTGGGGATTGGGGAGAGGAGAGGACACTGAGATGGGGGCTTGGATCCACCATGGATGTCATCCAAATTAGCACCAGGACACACATAACCAGCATAAGCAAGTTTGGCGCAGAAATAGGATGCGGAATCCTTGTCCTTGAGGTTGTTCATGGTCAGCGCCACCGAGCTCTGCCCGTTGTCCCTGGAGATCCTCAACCGGCCCTGCACCGATGGCGCGTAGTAGGCGCTGCCACAGTGTTGATCCCCGCGAGCCACTCCAGCCCCTGCCCGGGTCTCTGGCGGATCCAGTTCACGTAGTAGCTCCCGAAACTGAACCCGGACCCTCGGCAGAGGAGGCGCAGAGACCCCCCGGGGGGCTGGAGGTCCCCACCGCACTCCAGCAGGGTCATGGCCGCCCGGAGCTCTGCGGGACAAAGGGGAGATGGGGATGGGGCCAAATCTCAACCCTTGACCCAAATTCTGATTATTAGCCCCAAATTCTGACCTCTGGGCCTTCTCATCCTTCTCCAATGTGGGTCCCGACTCTTTTCCAACTGGCCAAACCCACTTTAAAGCCCTGGACCAATCAGGTTTCTCATCCCAATCTCTACTTTGTCCCGCAGGGCTCTGGGCGGCCGTGACCCTGCTGGAGTGCGGGGGGCACCTCCAGTCCCCCGGGGGTTCCCTGCGCCTCCTCTGCTGAGGGTTCGGGTTCTGTTTTGGGGGTTTTGGCATGCACTGGGTGCGCCACAGACCCGGGCAGGGGCTGGAATGGCTTGCAGGGATCAGCAGTGGCGCTTACACCAACGACGCGCCATTGGCGCAGGGCCGGTTCAGGATCTCCAGGGACAACGGGCAGAGCTCGGTGACGCTGACCATGAAAAACCTCAAGGACGAGGATTCCGGATCCCATTTCTGTGCCAAGGGTTCTGGTGCTACTGCTCCTGATAATGATTCCTATGCTATTGGGCCCGCACCCATCGCTGTGTCTCCACTTGCCCTCACTTGTCCCAGACCCTTCCTCAAACCCCAGCCCCTGACCCCATTCCCATCCCCGTGCCCCAACCCTGCCCTGGCTCTGCCCCGCATTCTCAGCTCCTGGCCCCACACCTCAGCTGGGGGCCCACTCGGGGCCATTTTGGCTCCTGAGCTCTCCTTGGCCATTCTGACCCTGCCCTCCACTGATGGAATGTTCCAGGTGACTCCACCCTTGGACCCCTCTGCTTCTCTCATCATGGAGCCCTTGACTCAAGATCAATTTGAACAATTTAATTTCCCAAAAATTTCATGTGTTTTTTGGGTAAAAAAAAGGGGGTTTTCTCCAGTGAGAGGATTCCAGCCCAGCCCCAAGGAGCAGCCCCAGACACCGAGGCCGCTGAGGGAGAAGTGAAGCCCCAGGTGGGAGCGAGGGAGGGAAGGAGGGAGGAGAAGACACCGCGATTTTGGGGCTCCGCAGCCTCCCCCCACTTCCTCCCCGGCAGCTGTTGGGACCCGGCCGGGGCAGGAAAGGAAACAGAATGTTCCTGATTTTGGTCACTGTGAACATCTGTGTTTGTCAGAGGGCAGCTCAGCCTCGGGCGCTGCGGCAGAGCGCCAGCTGCACAAAAAGATTTGTGTTCAAAGGGCCCTGGAGCGATCACCGTGCCACACTGGGACGGAGGGGAACTGGGGGAGATTGGGGAGAAATAGGAAAAACTGGGGGGAAATTGGGAACTGGGGAAGTGACAGTGGAGTGTGGGGGAAAGTGGTCAAGATTTGAGAAAGAGGGGTGGGGATTTTGGGGAAGGATCAGAGAATTCTGAGTTATTTGGGAAGAGAGAGGAGAGGGCTTGGGACCACAACCACCATCAACACCATAAGCATAAGCGCCATTACCACAGCCACTGGTGTAACATTTGGCACAGAAATAGGATCCGGAATCCTCGTCCTTGAGGTTGTTCATGGTCAGCGTAACCGAGCTCTGCCCGTGGTCCCTGGAGATCGTGAACTGGCCCTTGACCGACGGCGCGTACCAGGTGCTGCCACCAGTGTTGATCTCTGCAACGTACTCCAGTGCATTCCTTGGTGTCTGTTGATACCAGCCCATCCCAAAACTTCCGAAACTGAACCCAGACCCTCGGCACAGCAACGTCAGGGACCCCCCGGGGGGCTGGAGGCCCCCCCCACACTCCAGCAGGGTCACGGCCGCCCGGAGCCCTGCGGGACAAAGGGGAGATCGGGATGAGGCCAAAGCTGAACCCTTGACACAAACCCTGACTCTGGGCCCGAAACTGGGACCTTTGGACGACCCCATCATTGTTGTCCTGGTCCTGCTGCTCCTCTCAGGTGGGTCGCGCCGCATTTTCCAGTTTTACACACCCACTTTGAGGCCCTCAGCCAATCAGGTTTCTCATCCCCATCTCCCCTTTGTCCCGCAGGGCTCTGGGCGGCTGTGACCCTGCTGGAGTGTGGGGGGACCTCCAGCCCCCCGGGGGGTCCCTGCGCCTCCTCTGCTGAGCGTCCGGGTTCACTTTCGGGAGCTACGACATGAACTGGGTGCGCCAGAGACCCGGGCAGGGGCTGGAGTTGGTCGCGGGGATAACCACTGGTGGAGGCACCTGGTACGCGCCATCGTTCAGGGGGAGGTTCAGGATCTCCAGGGACAACGGGCAGAGCTCAGTGACGCTGACCATGAACAACCTCAAGGACGAGGATACTGGATCCTATTTCTGTGCAAAATTTGCTGGTGCCGGTAATTGGGGTGCTGCTCCAGTTTATCCTTTTGGCCTTTTCCCCGTTCCCCACACCCTTCCCCCATACCCCAACCCCTGACGCCACTCCTCACTCTCTGTCCCAGGCCTTCTCTGGCTCTGCCCTAAATGTCCCCTCTGGGCCACACTCAGCGCCCTCGATCCCCAAATGTCACCGAAATGCCTGGATTTGGGCCCAAAGTTAAAATCAGGGATCAAGAATTCAAATTTTTGCCCAAAATTCCCCATGTGAGGCCGACGGCGCAGATTTGTGTCAGTGGCTGTGACTCAGTACCTGCAGGGGAGATTTGGGGTAAAACTGGACAAGTCTGGGGGCAGTGGTTGGGATTGGAGGGGCAGGGCTGAGCTCAGGGTGAGACTGGCCCTGATTTGGGGCCAGGAGCTGAGATTTGGGGCCAAGAGCTGAGATTTGGGTCCAGGAGCTGAGATTTGGGGCCAAGAGCTGAGATTTGGGGCCAGGAGTGGAGATTTGGGGCCAGAGCAGGGCAGAGCTGGGACACGGAGACAGGAATGGGGTCAGGAGCTGGAGTTTGGGGAAAGAATCTGGAAAATAGGGACAAGTGGGAAAACAGCAATGCGGATGGGGAGAAAAGGATGCGCAGCAGGAGCCCAAGCAGCACCAGCAGATTTGGCACAGAAATAGGATCTGGAATCCTCGTCCTTGAGGTTGTTCATGGTCAGTGTCACCGAGCTCTGCCCGTTGTCCCTGGAGATCGTGAACCGGCCCTTGACTGATTCCGCGTACCGGGTGCTGCCACCATCACTGTTGATGCCGGCGATGTATTCCAGCCCCTGCCCGTGTTTCTGGCGCACCCAGTTCATGGCAAAATTCCCAAAACTGAACCTGGAGCCTCGGCAGAGGAGGCGCAGGGACCACCCGGGGGGCTGGAGGTCCCCCCCGCACTCCAGCAGGGTCACGGCCGTCTGGAGCCGTGCGGAACAAAGGGGAGATGGGGATGAGGCCAAAGCTCCAACACTGTCACAAATCCTGACTCTTGGCCCCAAACTGGGACCCTTGGAGCTCATCACTGTTCTCCCAGGAGAGTCCCGTCCCTTTTCCAGCTGGCCATGCCTGCTTTGAGGCCCCTCTCCCCTTTGTCCCGCAGGGCTCCGAGCGGCCGTGACCCTGCTGGAGTTCAGGGGAGACCTCCAGCACCCGGGGGGTCCCTGCGCATCCTCTGCCGAGCGCCCGAGTTCGATTTTTGTGGTTCCCCCATGGGCTGGATTCGACAGAGTCCTGGGCAGACGCTGGAGTATGTTGGGAGTATCAACTGCAAGGGTGGTTGGACAGGTTATGCGCCATCGGTCAAGGGCCGGTTCACCATCTCCAGGGATAACGGGCAGAGCTCGGTGACGCTGACCATGAACAACCTCAAGGACGAGGATTCCGGATCCTATTTCTATGTCAAATGTCATGTTGGCCCCACTGGTTGGATTTGTGGTGGTGGTATTATTCAGTCTGGTGGTTGGGTTGCAGGTGGCCACGTGCCCACCCCTCTGTCCCCACCCATTCCCGTTTTCCACGCCCTTCCCCCAACCCTCTGCCCTTGACCCTATTCCTGACCTCGTCTCCCAGCTCTCAGCTGATTCTGCCCCAATTTCTCTGCTCCTGGAAACTAAGTTGATCCAAACCTTGACATCTGGCCTGAAATCTTCACTTTTATAACAAACTTTTTGGGAAAAAAGTGTGGATTTGTGGTCAGGAGTTGTGGTTTGGGGTCAGCGGGTGAGAATTTGGGCCGAGGCAGAGCAAGGTTGGGATCAATGGTCAAGGGCTGGGGGTGGGCTGGGGGTTTTAAGGAAGGGTCTGGGACACGGGGACAGGGGGGGACACCGGGATTGGGACACAACCATCATCATCACCTTAATTAGCAACAGCACCACCAACACCTATACCAGAAGATTTCCCGCAAAAACAAACGGCAGAATCCTCGTCCTTGCGGTTGTTCATGGTCAGCGTCACCGAGCTCTTCCCGTTGTCCCTGGAGATCCTGAACCGGCCCTTGAATGATGGATTGCAGTAGGTGCTGCCATTGCTGGCGATCCCCGTGAGCCACTCCAGAGTCTGCCCAGGTCTCTGGCGCATCCACATCATCCCAAAACTGCCGAAACTGACCCCGGACCCTCGGCAGAGGAGGCGCAGGGATCCCCCAAGGGGCTAGAGGTCCCCCCCCGCACTCCCGCAGGGTCACGGCCGCCGGGAGCCCTGCGGGACAAAGGGGAGATGGGGATGGGGCCAAAGCTCAACCCTTGACCCAAATCCTGACTTTTGGCCCAAAATTTGGACCCTTAGATTTCATCACCCTTCCCCCAGGAGGATTCTCCCCCTTTGTCCAGCTGGCCACACCCACTTGGAGGCCCTTGACCAATCAGACTTTTTATTTCCATCATCTCCCCTTTGTCCAGCAGGGCTCTGGGCGGCCATGACCCTGCTGGAGTGCGGGGGGCACCTCCAGCCCCCCGGGGGGTTCCTGCGCCTTCTCTGCCGAGGGTCCGGGTTCAGTTTCGGGAGCTACGACATGTTCTGGGTGCGCCAGAGACCCGGACAGTGGCTGGACTGGCTTGCGTGGATCAGGAGCGATGGTGGCAACTCTGGCTACGCAGATTCAGTGAATGGCAGGATCACGATCTCCAGGGACAACGGGCAGAGCTCGGTGACGCTGACCATGAACAACCTCAAGGACCAGGATTCCGGATCCTATTTCTGCGCCAAATGTTACAGCAGTGCTTGTGGTCCTAATATTGCTGCTGGTTATGATGACGATGCCAGTGGTGGCCCCTCCTCAATGCTGTGCCCACAAACCTCCCAAAACCCCACATTCTACTCCCAAATCTTTAGTGTTGGCCACAAATCTTGACCGTTTTCCCCAATCTCCACCATCATTGTCTCACCTCACACATTTCCATGGGGCTTTCAGAATTTGAAATACTTCTCAAAGGTTCATCCCCAAAACCCTGCCCTGTGTGCCCCAGATCTCAGCGGGGTTCACTTGTGACCATTGGCCCCAAACTCAGCTGGTTCTGCCCCAAATCTCAGCTCTTGGCTCCAAGGCTCAACCAAGGTTCTCAAATGTGGGTGCAAATGGTCGAGATTTGGGGAAAACGGGCCAGATTTGGGTCCGTGGGGGTCAACACTGGGGTCAAGGGTAGGAGGGAAGGACCTGGTGAATGGGGATGGAGACAGGACCAAAATTAGAACGAGCAGCATGAGCCCCCCAACCCCAAACATCAAAGGCATTTTTGGCACAAAAACAGGATCCGAAATCCTCGTCTTTGAGGTTGTTCATGGTCAGCGTCACCGAGCTCTGCCCGTTTTCCCTGGAGATCCTGAACCGGCCCTTGACCGATGGCGCGTAGCCGATGTTTCCATCCGTGTTAGTGATCCCCGCAAGCCATTTCAGTCCCTGCCCGGGTCTCTGGCGAATCTAACCCATCCCAAATTGTCCAAAACTGAACCCAGACCCTCGGCAGAGGAGGCGCAGGGACCCCCCGGGGGGCTGGATGTCCCCCCCACACTCCAGCAGGGTCACGGCTGCCCAGGGCCCATCCCCAAATTTTCACCAATTTCACTCATAACTCCCCTGGTTTAGCCCCAAAACCCCACCAGCGTTTTCCATATCTCAACATGCCTCAAACCCTGCAATTAACCCAAATCAATTATTTAATTAATTAGACACCTCATCCTGAGCATTCTGCATTGATTACACAGTTAATACACTGTTAGGTACCCCCAATTCTCCCCGGGATCTCAACCCAGGCACATCACGGCCTTGGCCTCGAGCTCCCCCGAGCTCCTGGCCCTGCTGCTTCTTCTGCCCCTCCCAGGTGGCCCTGCCCCTTTTTCCTGGAAGTCACTCCCCTTTTCCCCTTCTGGACCAATCAGGTTTCTCATCCCCATCTCCCCTTTGTCCCGCAGGGCTCCGGGCAGCTGTGACCCTGCTGGAGTGCGGGGGGGACCTCCAGCCCCCCGGGGGGGTCCCTGTGCCTTCTCTGCCAAGGGTCTGGGTTCAGTTTTTGGAGTTTTGAAATGAATTGGGTTCGACAGAGACCTGGAAAGGGGCTGGAGTGGGTCGGAAGTATCAGCAGCAGAGGTGGCACCTGGTACGCGCAGTCGGTCAAGGGCCGGTTCAGGATCTCCAGGGGCAACAGGCAGAGCTCGGTGACGCTGAGCATGAACAACCTCAAGGACGAAGATTCCGGATCCTATTTCTGTGCCAAAGTTGCCTATAATAATTGGGGTGCAGCTGCCGGTGTGGATGGTGTTCACCCCATCCCCATCCCTGTGTCCCCACCTGACCCCGTTTCCTAGACCCTTCGCCAGACCACAACCCCTGACCCCATTCCTGTCCTTGTGTCCCAGCTCTGAACTGGCTCTGCCCCAGTTCTCAGCTCCTGGACCTAAACATCAGCTCTTGGCTCCAAGCTCAACCAAGGTCCCCACACGTGGGTTCAAATGGTCGAGATTTGGGAAAATGGGCCAGATTTGGGTCTGTGGCTGTGACTCAGTTCCACTAGGATTATTTTGGAGCAGAATGGCTCCAGTCTGTGGGCAATGGTTGGGATTTGAGAGCCCAGGATGAGCTCAGAGTGAAACCGGCCCTGATTTGGGGCCAGGAGCTGAGATTGGGGCAGAACCAGTTCAGAGCTGGGACACGGGGACAGGAATGGGGTCAGGGCTAGGGATTGGAGGGAGGATCTGGGGAATGGGGAGAGGGGGGACATGGGGACAGGGACAGGGCCAAAAACAACAAAAGCTCCAGCACCACCCCAACCTCCATTAGTTAAACCAGATTTCACGAAAAAATAGGATCCGGAATCCTCGTCCTTGAGGTTGTTCATGGTCAGCATCACCGAGCTCTGCCCGTTGTCCCTGGAGATCATGAACTGGCCCTGCACCGAATCCGTGTACCCAGTCCAACCACCATTGTCCCAGATCGCCGCGATGAATTCCAGCCCCTGCCCGGGTCTGTGGCGCATCCAGCCCATGGCAAATTTCCCAAAATCAAACCCGGGCCCTCAGCAGTGAAGGCGCAGGGACCCCCCGGGGGGCTGGAGGTGCCCCCCGCACTCCAGCAGGGTCACAGCCGCCCGGAGCCCTGTCGGACAAAGGGGAGATGGGGATGGGTCGATGCAAAAGTCAGGTGGAGGTGTCCAATTAATTAACGGGTGGATTGTGGCTAATTGCAGTGTTGAAGGCACTTTAAAATACTGGAAATCTCTGTTTCAGATTTGGGGCCAGACAAAGGGAGTTTGGGGCCAAAACACCGTGAAGGTTTGGGGATGGGGGAGTGGCCGTGACCCTGCTGGAGTGCGGGGGGGACCTCCAGCCCTCTGGGGGGTCCCCGCGCCTCCTCTGCCGAGGGGCCGGGTTCAGTTTCGGCAGTTCTGACATGTTCTGGATTTGCCAGAGAGCCGGGCAGGGGCTGGAATGCTTTGCAGATATCAGTAATGGTGGTGGAAGCACCGCGTACACGCCATCGGTCAAGGGCCGGTTCACGATCTCCAGGGACAACGGGCAGAGCTCAGTGACGCTGACCATGATCAACCTCAAGGACAAGGATTCCGGATCCTATTTCTGTGCCAAGGCTGCTGGTGCTGGTTGGGGTAATGATGTCTCTGCTCTTGGCCTCAACCCCTTGAATGTGTCCTCTGATGTCCCCAGTTCCCAGACCCTTCCCCCTAATCTCAGCCCTTCGCCCCTTCTTGACCCCTTGTCCCAGATCTCCCCCATTTCCAACACCACCAACCAGGAAGCAAAAACCCGTAAACTGGTTCTGCCCCAAATCCAACAAAATTGGCAATAATACTCACTCGATTCTGCCCCAAATCCCCACTTAGCGCTCCCAGCCACAGCCACTGACACGAGGCCTGAACCTTTGTCCGCAAACGGGACCCAGGGCCTCAAACTCCGGCCCTCAGAGCAA